GAGTACTGCACATCATTTGTCACCGTTTGTGTTTATAACAAAAATGATGGATATTAGTAGACTGATATTCTGGGGGATAAAGAGAAACTGGTAAAAGTAATTGCCTCTGAAGTGAATTCAGTGACTGGGCAGGAGAGCAGCTTATTTTCATCAAATACTCCATTTTGAATTTTTTACTATGTACATATTACATAATTTAAAAAACAGTGGCTTACAGTGGATGGATTTTCATTCCCATAGCGCAGTGTTTCTCAACAAAGAGTGGTTTTGCCTGCCAGAGGACATGTCTGGAGATGTTTCATTGTCACAACTGGTGAGGGTGGGAGTACTCCTGGCATCTAGTGAGTAGAAGCCAGGGATGCTGTTAAACATCTCACAATACATAGGTCAGCCCCACGCAACAAAGGACCCAAAATATCAGTAGGACTGAGATTGAGAAACCCTGATGTAGAGTAATTCTATGGATGCAAAGGTTTGAGAAGAGCTAAGCAAGTCTAAAGGAATTTTTTTTAAAAAGTAATGTGCCTATGCCTAAGCATTCAAACCATTGTGGATTTAAGACAATTCAAATTTCTACCCATGAAAGGAGATGGTTAGAGGAGTACAATATGCTCCTGTTTGCATAGGTTTTATTCCACCTTGGCACATAATCTAGTTTTTATAGCCTTAGTTCATGTTAATAATTTTAACAGTTGTAAAAGTATTATAGTCACTATAAAAATGAGATTAGACAAAAGTCTGTGACTTCTAGGACTTTAATCTATATTTGTACATGTATGCCAAGCACATATACAAGAATATGCATTGCAGCATTGGTTTTTTGTTTGTTTGTTTTGAGTTGGAGTCTCACTCTGTCGCCCAGACTGGAGTACAGTGGCCGCTCCTGGCCACCGCAGCCTCGACCTGCTGGGATCCAGCGAGCCTTTCGCCTCAGCCTTCCAAGTAGCTGGAAGTACAGGAGCCCGCTACCACACCCGGCTAATTTTTTGATTTTTTGTAGAGATGAGGGCTCACCAAGTTGCCCAGGCGGGTCTTGAACTCACGGGTTCAGGCAATTCACTCACCTCAGCCTCCCAAGGCGCGGGATTACAGGCTGAGCCACCGAGTCCGGCCTGCAGCATTGTTTATAACAGAAAATACTGAATATAACCTAAACAAGTTACTGGTGGAGTAACTTATGGTAGGTATATCCATACAATGGAATACTATGCAGCCATTAAACACAATGGCTCTAATAATCACCAAAATATAAGTTAAAAAAGCAAGTAAGAAAACGTGTGGCAAGTTATATGTATATGATATATAAACTATATATACATATATGCTCATTTATGCATATATCGCTGAAAGATACACAAGATATTGTTAACAGTGGTTGTTTCTGGAGGATTGTCATTGAATGCCCTGTTGCTTTTTATTTCAGTGTATAAACTTCTACTGAAAATATTCATGTGCACATAAACACAGCTCTGCCCAAGTAAATGAAATGTGTTGTATGATTCCACTATGCTTCATAATACAAGGAGAATTAAATATGTATAATAGAGATATAAAGGAATATGGGAACTCAAAAGTAAGTTGTAGATTAAATGTTAAGAGGAAATGAGTAACTTCAAGCCATCCTACAAAAGAGGGTCTGATAATTTCAGTCACTGTGATCAAACATACTTTTCTTTTTTTTTTTTGAGTTAGAGTCTCATTCTGTCGCCCAGACCCACTGGGCTCCGGCAATCCTTCCGCCTCAGCCTTCTGAGTAGCCGGAATTACAGGCACACGCTACCATGCCAAGTTGATTTTTTGATTTATTGTAGAGATGAGGTCTCGCCAAGTTGCCCAAGCGGGTCTCGAACCCGCAGGCTCAGGCAGTCGACTCACCTCAGCCTCCCAAAGCGTGGGATTACAGGCTGAGCCACCGAGCCTGGCTCAAACATACCTTTCTTAACAAACCTGCTTCTCTAAAGTGATAAAAACAGGAGAGCAGCTGAGTTATTTGTCCAGTGACAAGAGCAAATGTCATACGAGAGAAGTTATTTTTCAGATGGTGAGAAGAAAAAAGCCCCTTTTAGGAAGAGCCTCATGGTACTGGCATGCTTGACTTGGCCTACTTCTTGAAAGGTCAGATGGAATGAAATGTATAGTCTTGGCTTTGCCACTTAATTGTGGTGTGACCTTAAGCAAGTTACTTAATCTCTGGATTTATTGCCCATCTGTGAATTGAGAGTGTATACTGCAAAAGATACATTTTAAAAATCAAATGAATGATTCATATCAGGGAAGAAATTTCACAGAAAAAAGAAAAAATAAACTGGGCTCGGTGGCTCAGCCTGTAATCTCGTGCTTTGGGAGGGTGAGGTGAGTGGATTGCCTGAGCCCGGTGGCTGGGAGCGGCCACTGCACTCCAGTCTGGGCGACGGAGTGAGACTCTAACTCCAAAAAAAAAAAAGGAAAAATAATCAGTCTTCCCAGTAAGTAAAATAAATGTAGATTTGAGGTATTATGCCTATTAAAACAACAAAGTCCATATCCCATGTCATTGAAATTCTGTGAAAATCAGCATACACAGTTCAACCACTCTGTAAAATATGGCAAACTTGTGTAACATAGAGCCATAAACATATGGCTTTGACTCAGTAACTACATTTCCCAGGAATTTATCTTAAAGGAATGATTTAACAGATACAAAAATATATATACACAAAGATACTCTAATTCATTTAAATGTTGTCTAAAATAGTAAAAAAAAAACCCCCAAAAAACCCTACATAAATGGGTTAATAGAAACACAGCAACATGAAATATTGTACATTTATAAGAACCATTTTTGAACACTAGAAATGTCTGTTAAAAAGAAAATACTCCCAAACTCCACACAGACTACTTATGTACGTAATTCTGACTTGTACCCCACATCTTTAGAATAAAGAAAAAAGAAAAAAAAATACTATGTCCAACATATATATACAGAGATAACATATAAAGTAAAAACAATCTTATTTATAGGGAAGAATTATGGGTACTTATTAAATCAGTATTTAATATGGTATCAATGGCTTTGCTCCCAGTTCTTCTCTAGTGGCCAAGGATGGCGGTGAAGGATCAGATAAATCTTCAGACTAGACAAGGCTCTGGTACAACAAACTGGGGCCCCAGCAATTTGAAGATAAAGACATACAGTGCTCCCCCCCACACACAATGTCACATATAAACTATGAATTTTCTTGTGTGATTTAGGAGAATGTGTACGTATACCACATTTATACCCACATCTGAGTACAGAAGCATAAGAGTGAGGAGGAAAGATATGAAAAAGATACAGAACTTAGAATAGGGAGGAAGCCTAGACACCATTCTAGTACAGCCTCATCTTTACAGATGAAAAAGCTGATCCTCAGAAGGAAACATACTATTACATATAGGGGGGAAAAATTGTCGAGAAAAGGGAAAAAGCAAATCGGTGGTAGAGAGGGGAAAGGCAGTGAAGAGAAAATAAAGGCAACACATAAATATAGTAGGTGTGTATATGGATGATTAATAGGGTAAAGGCTAAGAGTAGGGTGGCAAGTGATCACTAGGCCTACAGGATGACTGAATTATGCTTCATATGTGGAGCTATGTATCTATCCTGATGTTTACCCTACAAGATACAGATCTAAATACCAGACTTTTACCATTTGACTCCAAGTGAAGGCCCAGACTTTTTAAGTCCCAAAGATTAATGCTAAACCAGATCTTTATCTGTGAACTGAAGCAACTGAACTGATCATTGCTTTAAAGAAAAGTAGGGAAATTAATATCACATCGACTTTTTCTGGTTTCTACATACGCAAACAGCTTGAAAGATAATTTGTTTAGATTTTATCGATATTTTTCTTTAGTGTTCATCTTTAAGTATCAATTATGAAATGCCAATAAAAAAAATCAAAAGATTATTAGCCAATGTAGGTGAAAGACAAATTGCTTTCATATGGTTTGACAGGATTTTACCTGAGCTAGTTCATTTATCTGTAGCGAATTATGTACATATATAATCTCTCAGAAATCAACGAGTTTTATCTGTAGACAGCCTTCTGAAACGAGATGCTTTGAAATTTTTATAGCTCCCTACTTTTAAGGGGACATCAACCTTCATGTTGTTGGTATGCTGCCAGTCACAACTATTTTGTGTCCAGAGGCTACTAGTTACTCTGCTTCTACCTTTGACAGGTTTACTGATGGAAAGTTGATATAAAGACAAGACAGTGCTTGTTCAAGTTGGGATTTTACCCTAAGCACTGATTAAATCAGATTTGTAAAAGTTCAACTTATATCCTGTTTTTGATGTTATATAATGTCTGGCTTACTAGCACACATCAAAAATATCTCAAACACTGAATGATTCTGCATCAAGTAATTATTTAAACTTTACTTAATTAGAAATAAGACTATATTAAGCCATTTATCATTACATTGGTTTTTTTCTTATTGTAGTTCAACACCTTGGTAACCTTACACCAAACTGTATCCAGATAGGCATCTCATTTTATACAAGATTTATCTCAATAATAGTGTGTAAACTGGATTTTATACAGATTCCTATCTTATCTTACATTATTTACAAAACGTTTATGCTAACTTCTAAATTACCTTCAATTAATACTGATGCCAAAAATTTACGTTTTAGGCTGTATCTAGTTTCCTTTCTCTCTCTTATCTGCCTACTCCCAACAAACAGCTAATAGGAGTTTATTTAAAACAAAACAAACCTGTACTAGGAACATTCCCTATTATGAAAAATCATATTGAAAAAACAAGATTACTAGGATGACCTTAAAGAAATGCTTAAAAGTGTCAGATGTAAACTTTTAGAAGCTAAGTGTTTGGAAGAATGATAATAAAAGCCTAAAATCTAAGGGTTTTTTTAACAAGACTAGAAAAATTTACCATAAGTATTTAAGAAGCATATCAACACACATGATTCACAACAAAGCATTTATTATATTGTTTGAGAAGCAATTGCAGTGGTATTTCAGAAGCTATATCTTTTTCTGAATGCAATATATGCCCATAAACTCTAAACAGTATTTTAAAATATACAATCTTTCAAAGAAAATACTCAACTAAAGATAGATAACTTTCAATGTAAGTAAGGTATTTCAAGATCTTAAAATTAAAGTCATAATCAGATTTTTCACAGCACATTGTACAGAAATTTGCAAGCCTCCTGTACGTTGTATATTACTCTTGAGCAAGTCGTTCAATAATGCGTCGGTAATCTTCCACTAATTCCTGAAAGCTTTCTTCCAGCTGTTCGTGTTGCATGCTTATTTCTATTTGGTTCATCTGGTTTGTCAATTCCTCTGGTCTGAGACATTTTCTCATCTTAGCAAGATCTCTCTGCTTTTTCTAAGCAACAAACACATTTGTTAGGCTAAGAAAGCAGATACGTTATTTTTATATTGTATATAACAATTATTGTTAGACTAACAAAGCAGAGTGAGTTTAGGTCTCACTCTGTCACCCCATGATGGAGGCAGTGGCATAATCAGCTCACTGCAACCTCGACCTCCTGGGCTCAGGCATTACTTCCACCTCAGCCTCCCAAGTAGCTGGGATGACGGTACGTGCCACCACGCCTGGCTGATTTTTTTATTTTTTGTAGAGAGAGGTCTTGTTGTGTTGCCTAGGCCGGTCTCAAGCAATCCTCTTTTTTTTGAGTTGGAGTCTCACTGTCACTCAGACTGGAGTGCAGTGGCTGCTCCCGGCCACTGCAGCCTTCACCTGCTGGGCTCCGGCGATCCTTCCACCTCAGCCTTCCAAGTAGCTGGAACTACAGGTGCATGCTACCACGCCCGGTTAATTTTTGATTTATTGTAGAGATGAGGTCTCTCCAAGTTGCCCAGGCGGGTCTCGAACCCGCGGGCTCAGGCAATCCACTCACCTCAGCCTCCCAAAGTGCTGGGATTACAGGCTGAACCACCGAGCCTGGTGTCAAGCAATCCTCTTACCCAGGCCTCCCAAAGTGCAAGGATTATAGGTGAGAGTCACCATGCCTAGCTATATTCTTTATTTTATAATTTTAATTTTACATTGTTAAAAATAAGAATAGTAGGAGTATGCCCAAACCTGTCCCATACATTTCTTTTCTTAAGGAAGCTTAAACATATTGTTAGCCATAAGTTGCAAACCCTCTAGGAGTTCAGAAGAAGACCTGGTATTTTTGTTAAATGATGGTAAATATAGATATGTGACTAGCAGCTCCCTCCAAAGCTTAGTAGGGAACTCTAGCCAGTGTAGACACTCAAACATTTCTTTAATAAAGAAAAGGCACTAACTGACGACAACTGACATTAAGTGTTATTACACTTCACTCCACTATTCAATTATTAATTAATCACACAATTTTAAATTCCAAGCTGGCATTTTTCTACCACTATGCTTATTCCTAGGTTCCCTTACCCAGTGATATATTTAAGGGCCACAAACTAATTTGTGGCCCATAAACTGTTGGAAAAGTTTCAGAAAGATAAATGAAAAATTGTCATAATTTTAAAAATGTATGAACTAGCTAGCACATGAGTCTCTATTAAGTTCCAGACATACATTATCATATTAAACCCTCCCACTTTAATAAGAAGGACACCACTATGCTAAGGAGTTTGCAAAAGGGAGGTAGTAACAACTTTTTTTTTGAGTTGGAGTCTCACTCTGTCTCCCAGAATGGAGTGCAGTGGCCGCTCCCAGCCACCGCAGCCTCGACCTGCTGGGCTCCAGCGATCCTTCTGCCTCCGCCTTCCAAATAGCTGGAACTACAGGCGTGCACTACCATGCCCGGCTAATTTTTTTTTTTTTGATTTGTTGTAGAGATGAGGTCTCGCCAAGTTGCCCAGGCAGGTCTCAAACCCGCGGGCTCAGGCAATCCACTCACCTCAACCTCCCAAGTGCAGGATTACAGGCTGAGCCACACTGAGCCCAGCTAGTAACAACTTTTATGCAGGACACTGTGTCAGAACAATGATGTGTCAATGATGTTCAGGATGGGACTGAAGGGCTGAGTTAGCAGCTACTGCAGTACTTCAAACCAGAGTTGATGAAAGCCTAGATTGAGTGAGCAGCAGCAGAGATGGAGGAGACGGCAGATTTAAGGAAGAAAGTATTGGGTGATGGGGGGAAGAAAGAATAACTTCCTGGTTGGGTGGCAACACTGCAATATGTAAAGCTTTCATGTTTTAGATTATCATATCAATCCTCTTTTATTAGAGCATATAATAAAGAGTTGACTTTATATAGAGATCCAAAATCACATAAATTAACTCATATAATCAAGAAGATGGAAGAAAAAAAAAAGGGATGGAGGAGTTAAGTAACTTTGACAAGGCTCATACTAGTGAAATCCTGGCTGAGTAGCCAGGATTCAAATGGTTGGGAGTTTATATTCTCAGTCCCTATTGTCAAACTGCCTTTCAAGAAATGGAAAAAGAAAAAAATCAACAACTCTAAAAACTCATCCTAAAAACTAATAAATGTTTATTGAGGAGGACCTTAATAATTTTGTAATACTAAGCAAATGTGTTATGATTACACTTTAAAGCTAAATTTATAAACATATGGCCGGGGTTCATGCCTATAACCCCAGCACTTTGGGAGGCTGAGGTGAGAGGATTGTCTGAGCCCGCAGGTTCGAGACCAACCTGGGCAACTTGACTAGCTTCATCTCTACAGTAAATCAAAAAATTAACCGGGCATGGTGGCACGTGCCTGTAGTTCCATCTACTTGGAAGGCTGAGGTGGAAGAATCACCTGAACCTAGCAGGCTGTGGCCGTATGCCAATAGAGTGAGACGCCAACTCAAAAAAAATAATCATACAAACATTTCTAAAACAAGGTACAATAAAGTACAGGCATTAAGCCTTTATTGCAACAGGCTGACACTACAAAAAAAAAAAAAAAATTAGGTTGATCCTGGGTCTGAATTGGAGGGTCTAAGTAAACAAGGTTGCTACTGTAACAGAAAGAAGAAAATAAAACTTTATTGTAAGTAGCCTCTCCAAAGCAGTGCTTCTCAAATGTATATGTACATACAGATCACCTGGATAATTCTTTAAAAATGCAGATTCTGATTCAGTAGGTCTGGGATAGGGTCTGAGATTCTGCTTTCTAACAAGCTCTCAGGTGATGCTAATGTTGCTCATCTACTGATTACACTTGGAATATTAGTACTAAACCATCATGAAAATTCGAAATTTATTGCTCCTAAGGACTGAAAAGACAATATATTCCTTACTCTTTGACTCTGTATTCTGTAAAAGTTATTTTTCTGACAAGGGGCATAACTGCCCTGTATAAGAGTGTCTAATTTAAGGAAACAATTTGGGAAATACAGGGTAATACATTAGGAAGCTATTTTGGTGTGTGATAGGAATATAGATTATTTTTCTAAATTGCTAACTAGTTATAACATTTATTAATCTATGCCTTAAGATGCCTCCAATTATAACAAATTCTTATATATTTACAGAACTATCATATTAAATTCTTAAATATGTCTAGACTATCAGTTCTGTTCCAAATAACCTATAGAATAAATCACCTGCCAGTAACATACTGTTTTAAAATCTCTCTCTCTGGAAAAGCTTATTTCCCCAATTTGTCTCTCCCCCTTTTACCATTTTCAATTTCTTCATTGTTGATTTTTTTTCAAATGTATGTCAGAATTAGTCTCTATTGTAATTTTTCTCGACAAGGTAGTAAATCTATGAATTAAATGTAAGACCTCTCTGGTGCCCTTAAATTTAAAGTACCTAGGAATAAAAAATACAAGTAATAGCTTTATGGAAAAAATAAAAAAGTATATATAAGTTCCTCATGAGCACTTAAGGTATGATTCAATTTTTTTTTGAGTTGGAGTCTCACTCTGTCGCCCAGACTGGAGTGCAGTGGCATGCTCACGGCTACCCCAGCGTTGACGTGCTGGGCTCCAGTGATCCTTCCCCCTCAGCCTTCCAAGTAGCCTGAACTACAGGTGTGTGCTACCACGCCCGGATAATTTTTTATTTATTGTAGAGACGAGGACTCACCAAGTTGCCCAGGCTGGTCTCGAACCTGTGGGCTCAAGCAATCCATTCGCCTTGGCCTCCCAAAGTGCTAGGATTACAGGCTGAGCCACCAAGCCAGGCCTCGTTCAATTTTTTAAAAAACTAATTTGAGCTATTTGTCTTATTAATTTTAATACTGCTTAACCTGTACATATTCCACTTTGTATATATATATGATGTATTACAAATTAACTTTTTAAAAAATGTGTAAAAGAAGAATTAAAAAAACTAATTTGGAGAACACCTATATCCTGTAAAGTTACATACATCAGGAATATACATGAAATACTGAAAGATAGAACTCCTTAAGACTGGAATGGCTAGAGAAATAGGTAGGCTTCAGAATAATTCTGTCCCCAAAAACAAAAATAGGCCGGGCTCGGTGGCTCAGCCTGTAATCCCAGCACTTTGGGAGGCCGAGGTGAGTGGATTGCCTGAGCCCGCGGGTTTGAGACCTGCCTGGGCAACTTGGCGAGACCTCATCTCTACAATAAATCAAAAATTAGCCAGGTGTGGTAGTGCGTGCCTGTAGTTCCAGTTACTTGGAAGGCTGAGGTGGAAGGATCGCCGGAGCCCAGCAGGTCGAGGCTGCGGTGGCCGGGCACAGCCACTGCACTCCAGTCTGGGCGACAGAGTGAGACTCCAACTCAAAAAACAAAACAAAAAAATTAATTCTTTCATAGATTAGAGCTGTTTATAATATTCAACTAAAACTAGATAGGTTAATTAAGGATGGCATTAACATCAATTACCTATATTAGCATTTAACTTGAATGTAAGTTCACTTCCAGAAAATAGGCCTTTCTTCTTGTCTAGTTTTCACAAATTTCAAGAAGGTTTACAAATGTAATCTCGGGTCCCATTAAGTTCTACCTGCTGAACTGGTCTCTTTTGTCAAGTACTGAGATAAGGTTCTTTTTTAAAGAATTTTAAAATAATAATAACGTTAAGGCATATAAACTCCAAAGACTTTTCAAAAAACATCTTAAAAACATGCACACTGTTAAATTCTCACTACAGAGGCATTTCCATTTTACAGAAAAGAAGCCCAATACCCAGATGTTAATAAACTGTCCAGTCATACAAATTTGTAAAAGGAAAGACTAACCCTCAAAACTGGGTATCTTGATTCCATATATCTGAAATATGTAAATCAATAAGTTAATTATTTTATTTAAAGTCTTAATACTTTTTTTTTTTTTTTGGAGTTGGAGTCTCACTCTGTCGCCCAGACTGGAGTGCAGTGGCTGCTCCCAGCCACTGCAGCCTCGACCTGCTGGGCTCCGGCAATCCTTCTGCCTCAGCCTTCCAAGTAGCCGGAATTACAGGCATGCGCTTCCACACGTGGCTGGTTTTCTTATTTATTGTAGAGATGAGGTCTCGCTGCCCAGGCGGGTCTCGAACCCGCGGGCTCAGGCAATCCACTCACCTCAGCCTTCCAAAGGTGTGGAATTATAGGCTGAGCCACCGAGCCCGGCTAAGTCTTAATACTCTTAAATGTTGCCATCTATTTATACTGTTCTCTATGTCTTTATGTAATCATAAAGACATCTTATAGCTACTTAAAGAGCACTTAAATATAACTTAAAGGGCAAATCTTTGGAAAGTATCATTTCTATTTTCTGATGTCTCTGAATTAACAATTTCAAAGAATAAAATGATACTTTGGACAATTTTTAAGGAGACCATTATAATTTATTACAACATATGTGATATGCAGGTGGTGGTCCACAAAATAGAAAAATCTTTTTAACTGCTAGATGAAATTGACACTATGAAGAATTATATGTCTATATATGAACTCAAGATAAAATCATCTGTCACAGGCAAATAATTATTTTTATATTCAGAATGTGATATATTTGAACAGAATTACAAAGACAAATTAGGATATACAGTTGCACTGCAAAGTAACAAGATGTTAAAGGAAAAAGAGTTGGGATTCAGCAAGGCGTAGTGTGACCTAATAAACCATCAGCATTCAAAAGACTGGCTCTATAAAGAAGACTCTATGGCAAATAATACTTTTCTTTAAATGTATTCAGGAAAACCAGAACTATATGTACTTGGCAAATTAACTATTCATTAGTTATTTAATTTACCTTCTCAAATTTTAAGACAGATTCGACTTGGTCATTTATGTTCCCAGCTGTTGTGCTGGGTTACAGGTATAGTGCAAATAAATGTAGCAACCACATTTCAGGTGCTCAAAAATTATTTGTTGAGTAAATAATTCTCCTCAATCAGCTTGTTGCCCAGCTGCAACTAGATAGCAAATTCTCATTCATACAAATTGGCACGAACAATATCCAAATGGTAAGGCCAGCCTGATCTAGGAGGGAAATTTTTTGCATTAAAAGGAGGAATATATGGAAGATGAAAAAGTGGGGAAAAGGGGCAAGAAGAATGTATGTTAAAAAAAAACAAACAAGTAAACAATACTAAGTTGCAATTTCAGCTATAGTAAAGTATGGAGATTATAAATGGGAACCAAGGCTATTTTTAAGAAGGCAGCAAGAGAATATATGTAACAAACAGCAAGATAAGAAACTTGGAAAAACAAGATGATTAGTTAGGGAAGAATCACGGCATTGAGATTTTTATAAAATGCATACAAATGAAAGAAAAACAACCCAACCATGGTAGACTATCCTTGGGATTCACTTTTTTTTTTTTTTTTTTGAGTTGGAGTCTCACTCTGTCGCCCAGACTGGAGTGCAGTGGCCGCTCCCAGCCACCACAGCCTCGACCTGCTGGGCTCCGGCGATCCTTCCGCCTCAGCCTTCCAAGGAGCCGGAATTACAGGCGTGCACTACCACGCCCAGCTGATTTTTTGATTTATTGTGGAGATGAGGTCTCGCTGCCCAGGCGGGTCTCAAACCCGCGGGCTCAGGCAATCCACTCACCTCAGCCTCCCAAAGGCGCGGGATTACAGGCTGAGCCACCAAGCCCGGCTGGGATTCATTTTTAAATGAATGAAAAATATTTATAACTTACATTGGAAAATTATGAGTGAGAATTTTTATAAATAACTGGGAGAATATTTTCACTTTTGTACAAGTTAATTTTACAAAATGATTTAGACTCTCCCATAAACTGGAATTTCCTAGCATTTATTTTATTTTATGTTATATTTTATTTTCATTTTAAAGTAGGAATCTCACTCTTGCTCAGGCTGGAGTACAATGGCATGCTCATGGACATCACAGCCTCAACCACTGGGCTCAGGTGATCCTTCTGCCTCAGCCCTCCAAATAGCTGAAACCACAGGTATGCGCCATCACGCTTGGCTAATTTTTAAAATTTATTGTAGAGACGAAGTCTCACCAAGTTGCCTAGGCTGGTCTTGAGCCCCTGGATTCAGGCAATCCTCTCTTCTCTGCCTCCCAAAGTCCTGGAATTACAGGCATGAGCCACCATACCCAGCTTTCCTTGTTTTAAATAGTGATAAGAATACAATGTTTAAGACTCGTCAAAGTCCTACCTTATATGGGCTAATTAGTCTTCTTTTAATATCCAATCTATAGCTTCTGTATTGTTCAGCATCACTCATGTCAGTTACCAGTAGTCGAAGAATTTCATAAACCCGTCTAGCATGTTGCTAATAAATGAAAGAAAAGGAAAATGTGAACATTTTCAAATTAAAAACTGGTGACTTTCCCAAAAGAACACAGGGTATATTTAATATCCATGGGCAATGAATTGTTCTGTATACCAAAGGAAAAACAATAAAAGATAGTCTCTGCCCTCAAACAGTCTAACAGGTAACACAAATGACTGAGGTATGGCTAAGTGAATGAGAGAATATGCATAGGGTATTATGGTAGTATAGCCTGGGAATGTGAGAAATGTCAGGAGAGAGTTTTCAGATCCTAGGGGAGATTTAGCAGGCAGCAGAACATCTAAATCTGAAGAAAATTCTAGTCTAAAGATAAAGATTTAAACAATATCACTACATCAGTAAGAGTTAAAACCATAAGGTTGGTTAAAATCACCTGGGGAAAGTATAACATAGTGATAAAAGGGGAGACATCAGCAACCCTATAGTTCAGTGAGAGTTAAAAGGCAGGCATATGACAGAAAAAAGGGTCAAATATCAGAAGAATCAGGAAGTTTTGGTATCACTGAAGTCAAGAGAGAACCACAGTTTTGTGTTTTTTTACATTATATATTTAGGGTGTACAAGTACAGATTTTTTGTAAAGTCTGGGCTTTTAGTATACCCATTACCCAAACTGTGCACATTGTAGCCAGCAGGTGATATATCAACTCTCACCTCGCCTTCTTCTCATCTTCTGTAGTCTCCCCTGTCTGTTATTCCAATCTATATGTCCATGTACACCCATTATTTAGCTCCCACTTATAAGGGAGTACAAGAAACACTGTTTTTCTGTTTGTGTTGTTTCACTTATATATTTATTTGAGCAGTGAGTTAGGCTATGGCTAGGTTGGGAAAATGATATTATATTTGAACTTCCTGAAAGGGCACCTGAGTTAAGCCTGCAAAAGTAAGTACTATATGCCCAGGCAAATAGATGGGAGTATTCCAGGAAAGGGAATAGTATATGTAAAGGGAAGAAAGATGTGACACAGTTGGGAAATAGCAAGAGGATCAGTAAAGCCAGAGCATGTAGCAAAGTGGTAGGAAGCCAAAGCTAGCAAGGCAGGCAGGGTTCAGATTGTGATGGTATCTTTATTTAAATTCTTTTTTTAACAAGCATGATCCTTTTTTTTTTTAAAGTTCATATTCCATTTCTTTCAAAAGCTGAGCTACTAAATAAATCTTAATAAATACAGGTTTAATACAGTTTGGAGATATAAATTACTTCTGAAATATGTATTTTGTTTTAAGCTAAGAAACTACTGAAGTGTTTTAGTACAGGACAAGATTGAAAATTACAGTTCAAGCCTGGCACAGTGGCTCACACCTATAATCCCAACACTCTGGGAGGCTGAGGTGAGAGGATTGCCTGAGCCTAACAAGTTCGAGACTAGCCTGGGCAATTTGGTGAGACCTCATCTCTACATTAAATTAAAAAATTAGCCAGGCATGGTGGCACACGCCTGTAGTTCCAGCTACTTGGAAGGCTGAGGTGGGAGGATCGCCTGAGCCCAGCAGGTCGAGGCTGCGGTGGCGGTGAGCATGCCACTGCACTCTGCCTGGGTGACAGAGTAAGAATCCAACTCAAAAAAACAAAAAAACAAAAAAAAAGGAAAGAAAACTACAGTTCAAATTGAGTTGTTTGTCAAAGGTGACTAGCAATGTTTTGGTTATATAGTTTTGGAGCTCCAGGGGAATATCTGGGTTGGAAATTTAGATAAAAATTTCCAGGTAGAAAAAGTAGAATGAGAAGAAATGAGTATTGAATAAAAAACATTGGGGAAGAGTTGCATTTAAGGAGCACATATAGAAAGAGGAGTACAAGCCAGTGAAAGTATCCCAAGAAAGATGATTACAGTGGGAGGTAGACAGCCAGGAACTGTAGTGCTTTAGAAACCAAAGGAGGGATGTTCAATAGTATTAAATGCCACTCCTCATTATTAGAATAACCTTCATTCTGCATACTTTCATAATCCAAAACCTACCCATCCCTTTCTATGAAATAACTACTGATTCCCTTGCTTATGTAAATGTAATAATAAACACCCTTTTCTGAACTCCCATCTTATTTTTCCTATAATATCATAAGACTTACTACTTTAAAATTTTAAAAATATACAGAAATATATGTGTTCTATTTCAACCCCAATTCCCAACAATATTGTCTGCAGGGGTACAGCTACTTTACAGTTTAAACTTTTTTTTTTAAAGCAAAAATAAGATCCATCTTTGTTCTGCTTGTTACACTTAAGATAGCCAAGACATCTATTATCTTCCCATTCTATTAATGAGGAAATTTAGGCACAAGGAAGTAAACTAAATTTCCCTAAGTCACAGATTAAGTGGTCAAGCCAGATTTGAACCCAGGCAATCTGGCTTCAGAGCCTGTATTCTTAGCCACTGCTACTTCCCTCTTATGTATTCTTAATGTCTTTAACAATGCTTTAGTTAAGTATGTACTTTATCAAAAAAATAAAAACATTTTCCTCCTACAGAATAAAAATACCTTATTTATTTTGAACTTCTGTTGTGCCTCTACCGCCATATCTTCATTGAATCCTTGCATTAACTTTTCCCGGGAAAAACAGGGCAAACCTTGACAAAGCTTTACAAGCACAAAGTCTCTTAATTTCACATAGCTTTTGGATGGATCTTCCGCTAAAGAAATAAAACAGAATAACATTTCCCTTAACCAATATAATTTCTTCATCATTTGCAATCTCAATATATATGCTAGGCCAGGAAGGCAAATATGAAAGGAGACTCAAAAAACCTAAAATTATCTTTCAGAGGGCAGAGTTCTCCCACTAGGTAAGTGTTTTAGGAACCCATCAGCATCAGTGTACCAGCCAGCATTATTGTAAGAGGCTGCGCTCAGTTTCAGTGCATTTTTTTCAGAGAGTCTTTCAACTTATTTGCCCATTTCACTAGTGATTTACAAGCATACCTACCCCTGCTCCCCCAGTGTCCAGCAGTTTTTGGCCACATAAAAACAACAAAAAAACGGTGGGTCCCTAGTGCCCACCCTCCCTATTCACTTGATCTTGCCCTTGGCAACTTTCTTTTGTTTCTCTGGAAGAAAATAGCCCTCAAAGGGAAACTATGTGGAAGAGGTGAAACAAAAAACAAAATGTTCTGCAGAAGCACTAAAAGGCATCAAAATGGACGAGTTCAAAAACTGTTCTGAGCAGTGGAAAAAGCATCTTGATAGGTGTACTGCATCAAACAGAGTATTTTGAAGGTGACTGAAGTTTAAACACACAGGAACACTCATCAACAAGGGTACCTGCATAATGAACATCTGTATACCCAACTCTGAATTGTACCCCACATCTTCAAAATAAAAAAATTAAAAGTTAAAAAAAAGACATTACCTCTAAAAAACAAACAAAGCAAACAAAGAAAAAATAAACATGTAAGAACACACAACATTTTATAAATAAATTGCAGGGTTCTTTGGGTCCCCCTTTGTATTTTTCAAAAAACATTACATATAAAGAGTTATAATGTAAGAGGATTATTCCCTATAAATCAAACAACAGAACTACTATCTTTGCCAAATAAAATCATAGGTGCAATCCTTTTGCAAAGATATTTATATTAATTGTGAATTGAGAGCTCCCCATTTTACATTTTAACTTTTTGACTAGTACGTTATCACATGCATCTTACTCCTAATTCCAATTAAAGTGCCTATATAATTAAGAGCATCAAGTTTGGATAAGCAATTCCAATTGCAAGCATTTTTTTGATAATTCCAAAACCTCAGTTTTATTATTTATTTATTTATTTATTTTATTTTATTTTATTTTTTTTGAGTTGGAGTCTCACTCTGTCGCCCAGACTGGAGTGCAGTGGCCGCTCCCGGCCACCGCAGCCTCGGCCTGCTGGGCTCCGGCAATCCTTCCCCTCAGCCTTCCGAGTAGCCAGAATTACAGGCATGCGCCACCACGCCCAGCTGATTTTTTAAAATTTATTGTAGAGATGAGGTCTCGCTGCCCAGGTGGGTCTCGAACCCGCGGGCTCAGGCAATTCACTCACCTCAGCCTCCCAAAGGTGCAGGATTACAGGCTGAGCCACCGAGCCCGGCCAAACTCAGTTTTAACTACCTGACTTTAATCCAGTAACCTCTATAGTCTGCTATATTTGGTACTCAATATAAAAAAATTATTCTCTTTACAAATGTAAACCTTTCTGATTTAGAGAATAAAACAAGAACATGATTTTGATCCTTTCTTCATTGCCTCTGCATATCACAGATGTTCCTTTGTCTGTAATTGACATTAGACTAAGTAGCACACAAGGAAAACACCAGACGATGAAACGTAAAAAGAATACTGCACATAGTGCATGAGTGAGTCTCAGTTCTGTCATTCATAGACGGCAGGACCTTGGGTAAGTCACCTTCTCTATCCATTTTTTGATTAGTAGAGAGGTTGAAATAAAGAATGTTACAAGTCTGACAAGTTTATAGATCATAAGACTTCATATTGTTAGGATATTAATATTATAATACCAATATTCATTGGTATTTGTGGAGGATTGGTTCCAGGTCATATTCCCCCACCAAGGATATTGAAATTCACAGATCCTCAAGTCCCTTAAATAAAATGATGTAGTATTTGCATATAACCTATGTACATCCTCCCATATACTTTAAATTATATCTCGATTACTTATAATAACTAATACAAAGTAAATGATATGTAAGTAGTTGTTATTCTGTATCTATTTAGGGAATAATGACAAGAAAAAAGTCTGTATATGTTCAGTACAGATACAGCCACCCATTTTTCCCCCCGAATATTTCCAGGCTGACTCCATGAACGTGGACTCACGGATATAGAGGGCCAACTATATTCTCCAAATCGATTCCATGTAATCCCAATTCAAATCCAAGCTTGCTTTTTTGGCAGTCATTGAAAAGTTCACCCTAAATTTCATATAGAAATGCAAGGGACTCAGAATAGCCAAAACAATCTTGAAGAACAAAAGTTGGAAGACTAACACTTCTTGATCTCAAAATTTACTTCAAAGCTACAGTAATCAAGACAGTGTGGCACTGGCATATGGACAGACATGTACATCAATGGAAATGAATTAAGAGTCAGTAAATAAACCCATACAATTAATTTTTGAGAAGGTGCCAAGACAATTCAATGGGGGAAGGAACAGTCTTCTCAACAAATGGTACTTGGACAACTGGATCTCCATAAGTAAAATAATAAAGCTGAACTCCCATTTCCTCACACCAAACATAAAAAATTAACAAAAGTGGATCATAGGCCTAGATGTAAGAGGTAAAACTATAAAACTCAAGCACAAGCAACAAGAGAAAAAAATAGATAAATTGGGTTATATAAAAAATTTAAAACTTTTGTGTTTCAAATGATACCATTAAGAAAATGGACAACCCAAAGAATGGGAAAATATTTGCAAATCAATTATCCAACAAGGACTTGCATCTAGACTATAAAAACTTTTATAATTCGATAAGAAAAAGACAAATAAGCCGGGCATGGTAGCACGTGCTGGTAGTTCCAGCTACTTGGGAGGCTGAGGCAGATCACTGGAGCCCAGCAGGTCGAGGCTGTGGTGGCCGAAAGCCTGCCACTGCACTCCAGTCTGGGCGACGGAGTGAGACTCCAACTCAAAAAAGAAAAAGAAAAAGACAAAGACAAACCAACTAAGAAATGGGCAAAGGAGCTAAAAATAGATATTTTTCAAGAAGATACACAAATGGACAATATGCGCATGGAAAGATGCGCAACATCTCTAGCCACAAGGAAATAGAAATCAAAACCACAATGAGATGCCATTGCACATCCATCAAGATGGCTAGAATTAAAAACAAATAACAAGATTTTTTTTTTTTGAGACAGGGTCTACTCTGTTACTCCACTCTGTTGAGTGCAGTAGTGTGATTCATAGCTCACTGCAGCCTCAAACTCCTGGGCTCAAGCAATCTTCCCACCCAAGCCTCCAGGATAGCTGGGATAACAGAAACATGATACACACCCATCTAATTTTTTGTAGAGATAAGGTCTTGCTATGTTACCCAGGCTGGTCTTGCACTCCTGGTCTCAAACAGTCTTCCCACCACGGCCTCCCAAAGTGCTCTGTTTACAGGTATGAGCCACCTAATCCAGCCCACAATAGCAAGTATTGATGAGGGTATAGAGAAACTGAAAGTCTGATACACTGCTGGTAGAAATGTAAACTTAAACTGGTGTGGCCATTTTGGAAATTAATGTGGTGGTTCCTCAAAAGGTTAACACGGTCACCAGATTTCCCATCATTTCCAGTCTTACATATATATACCCAAGAGATATAAAAACACGGGTCTACATAAAAACATACACAACTGTTCATATAGTAGCATTAGTTTTAAAAGCCAAAAAATGGGGCCGGGAACAGTAGCTCAAGCCTGTAATCCCAGCACTTAGGGAGGCAGAGGCGAGAGGATTGCCTAAACTCAGGGGTTCGAGATCAGCCTGGGCAACTTGGTGAGACCTCATCTCTACAATAAATCAAAAAATAAACCAGGCATGGTTGTGCATGCCTGTAGTTCGAGCTACTTGAAAGGCTGAGGTTGAAATGCAGGATCACCTGAGCCCAGCAGGTCGAAGCTGTGGTGGCTGTCAGCGTGCCAGTGCACTCCAGCCTGAGTGACAGAGTGAGACTCCAACTCAAAAAAAAAAAGAAAACAATACAAATGTTCATCAACTGATGGATAAATAAAATGTGATACATTCAAACAATGGCATATTATTTGATAATAAAAAGAAATGAAGTACTAATACATGCTACAAGAATGAACTTTGAAAACATTATGCTAGGTGAAAGAAACAAGTCATATATTTTATGATTCCAATGTCCAGAATAGTCAATAGTCTCGAAAGAGAGAGAAAGTAGGTTAGTGGTTGCATAAAGATGGAAGTTGGGAGGAGAGAAGGAAGGAGTGACTGCAAATGGGATGGGTATTTCTTTTTGAGGATTTCTTTCTGGAGGAACAAAATATTCCAAAATTAGATTATGGTGATGGTTGCACTATAAATATCATTTAAAAATAGTCTTTTTTTTTTTTTAAGTTGGAGTCTCACTCTCTTTCCCAGGCTGCAGTGCAGTGACACACTGATGGTAACCACAGCCTTGACCTGCTGGGCTCAAACCATCCTTCTGCCTCAGCCTTCCTAGTAGCTCCAACTACAGGCATGCGCCACTACGCCCGTCTAATTTTTTATTTATTGTAGAGATGAGGTCTCATCAAGTTGCCCAGGCTAGTCTTGAACCCACAGGCTCAGGCAATCCTCTCACCTTGGCTTCCCAAAGTGTTGGGACTATAGGCATGAGCCATCCGGCCTGGCAAAAATAGTCTATTTTAAATGAATGAATTGCATGGTGTGTTAATTATGCATCAACAAAGTTGTTTTTTCAAAAAGCCTGAGATGGGGTAATGTCTTATGATTCCAAAACATACATTAATTCATTCAACCCATATGTACTGAATACCTTATGCTTCTATTCTGCACTTTATTATTAACATCATATGCATGTAGTTATTAAGTATTACTTGACTATGGTTTTAAAGTAGTAAGAATTGAAATTCCATCAATGTATCAGTTTGGGATGAAATTATGATCTATTAAGAATGGTAAAATCGCCAGGCTCGGTGGCTCAGCC